AAATTCTAAACCGTGGTTTATAGCATACTTTTATGATCCAATCAATTGGAGTTTATTCAATATGATTAAACAACCTATAGCTTGGTATATAACCTACAGCCCAATGAAGCCTGAGTTTTCTTAAACCGACTACACTGCTTTTAAGGGTATATCAGATTTTGATAGACTTCCAGCCCAGAATTCAGATTACTTGAAAGCTCAAAATAAGCTTTTCAAGGTGAATCAGTCCCACTAGTGTCACTCCCAGCAATCATAAAGCCAAGCAGCAACTAAAAGAACTTCATTATCATAATCCCAAGTGGTCTCTTTCAACTGAGTTCACGGCTTCCATTTGTTACTCCATCCCTTATTGTCAAGCTTTTCCTCAAAATTGATGAGTCCCAGCAGGATTAGGACTGGAGTGAAACAGAATTGTGGGAAACAGATCTTCAGGAGAGAAAGCCTAAACCAAATATTCTATCCAAAGTGAAGCAGGAAAGAAATGTCAGAAGAATGTTGTGGATTGTAAGATAACTAGACAGGCAGAAAAATACGTATTAACCTTGGGAAGCCACCCAAATGAGGACAAACTAATGTTAGTCAAAGTCAAGAAACAAAATGCTATGGGAGAAACAGAGTGCTTTTCACATCTTTTGAAAGCTTAAAAGCACAGCCATAGACAGGGTAGAAGAGAATGGGGTTGGGGTTCTGAAGGAAGGAATGTAATCATTTCTTCCAGCCCATTTCCAAATAAAGTGTCCCCTACTTGCTATTTCCCACTCAGAAGAATCTTCATAAAATTACCTGGATGGTGCCTGCATGTTTTTCCAGTCATGGATAATTAAAGCATTGTGTGGTTGGCAGGGAAATATTCCTGAAAAGAACTGGGGGCAGGGGGATATTTGTAAAAAAAACAAAACAAAAAAAAAGTGATGTAATTCTGATCTAATTTAGTCTTCTCCCCTCATGCTCCATCTGTTTTTCTGTTCCTTAAATATAAGATCCTATGAGGCAAGAATGGTCAAAAAGTTGTAGTATAGCACTTCTTTCATCCTGAAGTGTCCAGCACACAAAAGTGTGAATGTCAGGACATGTCAGCCCTTTGAGGTAGCCCAGAGAAGAAGCCAAAACCATGAGTACTAACACTACCTTTACTGCATGGTTACAGTAACAAAATATTGCAAGTCTGAAAGCATTTCTCCCCTTCCTTGCCTTTACTTTCCAGAGAACTAGGGAGGGGCCCTTCTGAGACACTTTCTCCACCCCCATTTCTTCTGTGGGCTGAGATATCTCTTATCAGATTATTGTCTAGGCTATGGCTCTTCCTCCTGTCTCCCAAAGTTATTTTCATAGCCCATGACAATATAGATACTAGGAGGCTCATGCTTTGAATACTGAAAGATCTTGACAGTTCCAACTTTTCTAATACTGAGTGGACCTCTTGGGACTTAACATTCCACCCAAAGGTATGATGTCCACCCACATGCTATCTAAGAATCAGACAGCAGTTTGGCTCTTGAAACTAGCAAAGGTTAGAAGATTTGTCCTTTAACAAGAGGTGCTTATCCAGATGTTTTAAAATTCTACCATGATTTCCGGGATTGGTCTTTGGAGTTGAAAAGATGTTCTCACATTGACCTCAACATCAAATGAAGCTCAGGCCTAATATGTGTACACACATGCACACCTGCGACAACTTGTCCTGATGGCTATATATTATCTCTGAGATTATAGGCACTATGTCACTCAAACCAGTTGCTAGGGAACATGAGCAGAAAAGTGCTATTGCACTAATATTATTTTTGAAAGCTTTCCAAAGATATCACCACTGTGGGAATAGAAAGCTGAACTAGATCCCCCTGAGATCAAATCCAGCATATCTCTTTTTATATTCTGAGGTATCCCCAGCTCTTATTCAATGGGTTTCATGAGGCTTAAGGTCATATTGAGTATTAAGGTCACCTTGAGTACACTACACCTTACAAAAATGTCATTTTTCCCAATTTTTTAAAGAATAAATACAAATGCCATGTACCCTAATTAAACCCCAAAAATAATAATGGAAGTAGAACACTAAAGATTAGCAAACCATCCATGTTAACTTTAGTATTCCATTCTCCATGTTTGTTTATTTGCCACATGCACTCATAAGCCTTTGAAGGCAATAGAAGCAGCCCTTTGGCTGGCCTAGAGAAGTGTCCTGTCCTGTCACTTTTCCCAGCAATTGTCCCACTCTTTCTTCCTTCATTATAATAATTATCTTCATCTCCAAAAAACAAAACAAAACCCCTACTATACTGAGTCCCAGAATATACATTAAGTAAAGCTCCCTATAGAAAGCATGTGTAGAATTTTCTGTTGCAGATAAATTGTTTCTTTCCCCATAAATAAATAAATAAATTGTATTGTATTGTATTGTATTGTATTGTATTGTATTGAATAAATACATATGTAGAGAGAGAAAGACAATCTCTAATATAGATTTTTATACTTGAATCCAAGCTGCAGTAATTTTGATTTATTTATTTATATTTATTTGTTAGATTTCTATCTTCCAACATCTAAGCAGCCTACATGGGATCTCCCTTCATTTCATCCCCACAAAAGGTCTGAGAAAGAGTGACTGGCCCAAAGTGATATTGTGAGTTTTCAGGTCTGAAGATAAAGCTGAACTCAGATCATTCCCATCCTACTCTAGCACCGTAACTACAATACCATATTGGCTCTATTTGGACCTTTTATGACTGTTTTTAAAAGATAAGCATGTTTATTCATTTAAGCATCCTTTTACATATTTGTGGGTTTTCTAAAGAGACAAACTTTTTGCAGGGTGTATGTTAAACATTGCTCTAGATTGCTTTCTGATTGTCAAAAGCAATCAGTATCATGTCTTCCAGATCAAAAGTTCAGTGAGTCCTTTAAAAGAATAGAGAGAATAAACCTTAGGTCACCCCACTTTGGGGTAACCTATTCAGTTACCTTCACAGCCTGAAGACATCACCTGTAGACTAGATCAACCTTCCTCAAGCCACTATTGCCATTCCTGAGATTTCTAGAAATTGACATCCTATCTGAAAGATGTCCAGATTGTAGAAGGCTGATTTAGACTATGACTCTTCCATGGCTTCCTCTGGGCCTCAGCCATGCAAGAGTCTGACTTCAGAAATGACCACAGGTTTTTTAAAGCTACAACAGGAATGGAGCTAGGTCCAACCACCTTTTAAAATTATCAGTGGGCTACAGCTACTTGCTGGAACAACAGTTCTGGCAACCGTAGATTCAGCAAGCAAACTCTGCAGTACGCTCTCCATGGTCCTAATGGCCTCTTGGTCTTTCCTTGACAATAGCAAACCCCACTGAATATGAACCAGTTTCCTTATGGCTCCCTGTTGAATAGGGCAATCGGCATTGTGCCTGGACAGATAGGAAGACAGGTCCTAGGTGGGTTTCTTAGTTTCTTCTGGGTCCTGTTAATCTTCATCCAAAAGACCTAGTTTTCTCTAAAGCAGAATCAAATTATAGGTCATGGCACATAAGCAGCTAGGGAAGTAACTTTGTGATTGTTATAAGGGCTAAGCAACTTGTAGAGCTACCTTTGCCTAGAAACTTGAAAAACGAATTACTCCCAAACGTAAATCAGTTGTATATCTGCCCCAAAAGTGAGTATGAATCCAGTACAGAATCGTTGCACATAGCCTAATTTAATCTTAGCTAAAAGTGAACTTCAAAGGCTAAAAGGATTCTCATTTTTTAAAGATCACATTGCATCACATTGATTTGGATATTTAAGAACACAGAGACCAATTCCTGAAGGAGAGTCTCCATAAAGGGGGGGGGGGAATTAGTATTGGAATAATAACAAAGAAAAAACAAAGTTAAGTGCAACAGGAGTCCTTGTCTGAACCATCTCCTTGAGAAATGGAATACCTTAAAACTTTACATTTCAGTACTTAGAATCCTTCAAATTTGGGAACACGATAGCTTCCATTTTTGATAATCTATTGAGCTAAAGGATTACCTCTGCAGTTCTGACTGCAAAGGCCAATTTTGCTTGAAGTCTGGAGAACATTGGGAAAGGCTGCTTTAGCCACCAATTTACTAGTGCCCATGACAGAAGAAAAAAATCCTTTGCAATTAGTGGCAAAGGGATAGAATTTAGATTAATGCATAACAATAGCATCATTAAAAACCCCAAACAGTTAATAATAGTACACAATAAAAATTTTCCAAATAGATCATGGAAATGAAGGCTAGTAATAGCTACACTATCAGTCTGAAATGATTAGCTC